CCCCACGAGGTGAGAAGGCGAAAACCCACCCCCACCCCCAGTCCCGACGCCCATCCCCGAACCCGCGACTCAAGGAGTCGGGACTGGGGGTGGGGGTGGGTTTTCGGGGTCCAAGAATGGAGAAAACCCACCCCCACCCCCAGTCCCGACCCCTTGAATCGCCGGCTCGGGGATGGGCGTCGGGACTGGGGGTGGGGGTGGGTTTTCGCCTTCTGAACGAGGCGGGAGCGGCACGGGAGCCCAGACCGCCTCGAGGCGTGGGAAAGTCACGGCGGGAAATCCTTCGCTGTGCTGTGGCCTCTGGGGGCCCCTGCCGGGCCCCGGGGCCGCCAACAAAAACGGCTCGAGGATGAGAGGCCGGCCAGGGGGAATGGGTCGAGACCGCTGGGGGTCGACGTGGTGAAAAAATCAGGACGTCGGGGGTCTGGGAGAGCGCATTTGTTTTATTCGCGGTCAGATCGGGCGCTACGGGTGGGACGGGAGGGGGGACGGGAGGGGGCATAACGTACCGCCCCCGCCCCCAAAATGTGGCGGTGTTGGACGCACTGCGGCAGTGCCGGGGACGCACTGAGGGGGGGGAGCGTTACGTTATGGGGGGGGGAGGAGGGGGAGGGGAGGGGGCATAACGCGCGTTATGGCCCAGAGAATAACAAAAACATGCTCGAGGGGGGAGAAGAAACGCAACTGAACGACGAGAAGAAACGGGTCTTACGCGAGATGGCACAGCGACCTTACGGGGTGGCTGACGCGGGCCGTTAGCGCGGCACGCTCTCCTGGAGACGAGGGCGCTCCCGCAGGACCTCACGCGGGCAGCTTACGCGCCAGTGTCGGCGCGGACGGCCCCCTCTCTTGCGTCGCTCACTTGACTCGCCATGAAGGAGAGGGGAGGAAGCGGGGTCCCGAGGTTGTTCCCAAGTCTCGGTGTCCTTCCGTCAGGGGGAGGGGTAAGGGAGAGAGAGAGAGAGAGAGAAAGAAAGAGAGAGACAGACAGAGAGAGAGAGTGAGGCTCATCGAGGGCCTTGCTCCCTCCCTCACTTTCTCGCCCTTATCGTCCTCCTCGTCGCCTCCTTCCTCCCTCTTCCTCCCTCCCTCATGCTCGTCACAACCCCCCTCCTCCTCTGCTTCCCCTCCTTCCTCCCCTCCTGCCTCACTCCTCCTCCTCGTAGTTCCCCTCCTAGATAATTACTCCCTCTCGTCCTCCTCATCATCCTTCACTCGCCCGCTTTCCTTCAGGGGCAAGGTTAGGTGGGGATACAGTCGGGGTCCGACCACCAGAAACCTTCCACAAGGCACCCAACCCTGAGACCCTAGGACGTCCCTTGGTCTTTTGTGTGGGAACGTCACGCTCTCCCTCGCAAAACCATCGAAGCCCAAGAAACACAGGGCAACCTGGAGGCGAGCGGGTGTTCCTTGGCACGGGCGCGCCGCACTGGGGCGAGGCCGCCATGCGAACCTTCCCACTGGGGCCTTCGGTGGAGCTCCCTATGGGGCCACGATCCTCGTGAGGGGTGCGCCGAACTGGGGCGAGGCCGCCATGCGAACTTTTCCACTGGGGCCTTCGGTGGAGCTCCCCATGGGGCCACGATCCCTCGTGAGGGGTGCGCTGAACTCGCCGACGGGGGCCCGACAGCCCGCCCCGCCGAGCACCGCGTGGAGTCGCCGCCCGGGGGGCATACCGCCGACCTGTCGGCGATGGGTTGCCGACTCCGGGTCGGTGCCTCCACCCCAGGAGGCCCAGAGGGCCTGCGTCGTAAGCCTAGGGCAACCCTGGCATCCCCTCGTCGTGGAAGAATCACGAGGGAGGGTCTTCCGCAAGTTTCGGCCTCGGGAGCATCCGCGGGACTGTCAGAAAACGGCTCCGGGCCCGGGGAAGGGGTCCAGACCTCTGGGAAGCCACGTTGTGAAAAATCGGGTGTGAGGATGTCAGGGAGCATCTCCGAAGATCTAGGCGGGGGAGAGAAGCCCAGAAGGCCTCCCTTCGGGTGCTGCGAGATGTCCCTGACCCAAGGAGCCAGGACCTCCAATGAGGCCCCCACGGCCACCCCACTGGCCCATCGGAGGAGGAGATACCGATACCGCTACAGCTCCCTCGACGTCACAGCAGAGAATCATCGTCCGAACGCACACCAGGAGAGGTCCGCGGAGTAGTGTTAGGTCGGGCCTGTCCCCCTACAGGGGGAATTCGGACGAAAAATAAAAAATATCCGAATAATGCTCAAAGATGACCAAAAACGCACCAAAAATACTCAAAGCTGGTCAAGAACTCGTCCCCTGACTATTTTTGACTATTTTTGAACGTTCCCCCTGTAGAGGCGCAGGCCCGATTTAAGAGTAGTGGTGTCGGTATATCCTCGCTCCCCCAGCCCAGAGGCCTTCTGCCGGAGGCCCGAGAGGAACTCTCTCCGAGGATCTGCTATGTTTTCTCAATCTGGACATTCCTCCTCGAGGCCGTGCTCCGGGGCCCCTTGTCGGGCCCGCGGGGCCATCAAGCAACTTCTCCAGTGCGGAGCACGGGCCCCCTGGAAGGGCTTGGAAGCTCTGGGCCGCGCATCGAACAAAAAAAAAAAAAAAAAAACGTCGAGGGAGGTCCGGGGAGGCCTCCTCCGAGCGGCGTCTGCAGTTTCCTCACGAGGCAGCGAACATCCACCTCGGGGACCTTCCCGCACAGGCATGCGGGGGGTCACCGAGGAGCCACAGGGTCGAGGGGTCGAGGGGGAGGAGGAGGAGGGCGGAGGAGGAGGAGGAGGAGGAGGACGAGGAGGAGGAAGAGAAGGGGGGGAGTAGGAGGAGGAGGAGGAGGAGGAGGAGGAGGAGGAAAGAGGAAGGGGCCTCGCTCTGCGATCCTCGAGCCTCGAGCCCCGATCCTCACTCCTCGAGCCTCGCTCCTCGATCCTTGAGCCCAGCTCTTCAATCCTCGAGCCTCGAATCTCGATGTTCGAGCCTCGAGCCTCGATCCTCGAGCCTCGATCCTCGAGCCTCGATCTTCAATCCTCGAGCCTCGGATCCTCGAGCCTCGACCTCCGATCCTCGAGCCTCGAACTTCCGGCCTCCAACTTCGAATCCTCGGGCGTCGACCCCCGAGGGGAGGAGGGCCTGCCCCAACCTCCTCGCGCCGTGGACAAAGAGGCACGGCGGGACACGTTCGGCCGCTGTCGGGCTTCCCGGCGCCCGTTTCGGGGATCTTCTGACCCGGGCCAATCCCGACCCGGGCCAGCAGGAAACCCAAAAAAACTGCAATGCAGGAAAAAAAACAAAAAAAAACTGCAACGCAGGGCTTCGCAAACCCGGGTCAGCCAATATGCGCGGCCGCCTCGCGGCCCCGAGCGGCCCGCTAACCCGGGTCAGCCACAAGGGGTCTTCGCAGGATCCTGCAGGATCTGGTGCCCTGGCTGACCCCCGTTTGCATTGACCCTCGTCTCTTGAGCCCCGACCGTTTGCCAGGCCCCGGGCCCCGGGACAGTCAGATGGGACGCACAGAGACATACCAGTACTAGATGTCCTCCTTGGAAGCGCGCGTTCGACCCGAACATCTATATAGTATGCCCATCTTGTAATACATCGTTTCTCGAGCGGTGTGGCCAGAAAGCGCCCGCCGCGACGCATACACTATAAGATTTCTCGGTGCGCGCGTCGCCTCTGAGGGAGCGACGCGCGCATAGCATCAGTATGTTGGGGTGGCGCCGACTCCAGGAAGGGGACAGGACCTCTCGGCAGCCACGAGGTGCAACAAAAACGTCGGAGGCCCAGGGTGGTGGAGAACCACAGACCCAACGCGGACAATGCCGTGAGGCGCAATGGGGTGCGACAGGCCCGGCAGAACAAGAGTTGCTCGGGCTGTCCTGAGCTCACTGGATGCGCACCTAGCTGGTCCGTTGCGTCTTGATCGCTGCATTGGGTCGTTCTGTGCACTTCTGGCGACTCGGTGATGCAAGTGCAGTTGTTTCGGCATTGGGTGAGTCTGGGCAGACCAGCACCTGAGCACTCAGCACAGATCAGCAGATTCGTTAGGAAGCTGCGGTTGCGCAACTACTTGCAACTGAAGTGATCAGTGCAACGGTCCAGTGAATGGATGATCCAGAAGAAGGGCAGAGAATACATCCCCCAATATCGATCCTCCAATCATCCTCCCGAGGAGAAGGATCGAGGATCTGTGTCGTGCTGCTCAACGTTTCTGAACATGTGGGAAACTTCCACAGGCCGCTGGTTACTGCGGGTTCGTGTCTTGTCGACCCCAGCGTTGGTTCATGACACCCCGTGGATCGTTCAACCCTGAGCGATCGGCGGGCGAGTATTCGATGCCAGATCGTTCCGTACTGGCCGCTTCTGGGTCACTGGCGGCGCTCAACCTGGAACGCCCGCGGCGGGGTCGCCGCCGGTCGACACGACGCGAACCTACTGTACCTCGGCGGACCTTCGGAGGCACCGAGGAGCCGTTCCTGCGACCACTGCCAACACACAGCCGAGGACGAACCTCCGAGTTCAAAGAGAGCTCCAGGGGGCCAGCGAGAGCGAGCTTCCAGGGGCCAGCTGGGCCTGGGGCGGAGGGGGTGGCGCGGCTCCTCCTGCTGCTCCTTCCCCTGCTTCAATATACGGTTAGGATGGGCATGTCCTCCTCCAGGTGGATTTTGCAAGAAAAATGCTCAACGATGGTCAAACACTCGTTCCCATAATATGTTTTACTATGTTTGCATATTCCACCTATAGAAAGGACATTGCCCGACTTCAATATACGGTTGGCGTCTCAAAGACAGCGTGCAACACCGATCTCCGAAAGGCACCTTGTGCCCCGAAAGAAGTAAGGCTTCCCCCGTGCACGCTGTCCCTGTGAGGCGCTCCCCCCGCAAGGGCCCCTCCTGCGCACGCTATGCCGCCCTGCCAGGGGCCTCTTCGGCGCGCGCTGTCCCACGGTGGGGGGTAGCGTGCGATGAGGGGGGCTGGCGGCGCCACATCGAACGCCATCCTCGCAACGCCCGCCGTACGACGGGAAACGCGGAACGATTTCTGGTGGGATTTAGAGCACGGGGGAGGGGGAGAATCCCTCGCAGTGCCCGCAGGAGGACCGCGTTCGCTGTGGCCATATACCTAGAGGACGATGAACAAAACAATCTGCCGACACCCGCTTGCCGGGGGTGAGAAGGCGTGTCAGGTGATTGGCTGTCCCCTCCCCCATCCGCCTCCCCTATGATCCGAAATGCAGTTTGAGGGGGCGGGGGGGGCGGGGGGCGAGCTCCCCAACGTATCCCCGTGGCCCCGTAGAGCCTCTCCAGGGCCTCAAGACGCCTCAAGACGGCCCAAAAGGGCCCAAACGAAACGCCAAGACAGTCCTCGAATGCGTCGAGATGGCCCAAGGTAGCCCCACGGAAACTCAAGCAGGCTTCGAGACGGTCCACGACGCGCCCAAAACGGCCAAAGAGTGCTCCCAAGGGACCGCCATGAAGGCCCCAAGAAGCGAAACTCGTCCCATTCGCGAAAGAATACACTTTCAGCATACGTACTCGCCTTTTGCGTCTTGAAAGCGTCCGAGCCAGCCCAATGAGCTCCCAAAATCGTCACAAGTTCGCCCCCAAACGGCCCAAAGAGATGCCCAAGCCGGCCCCCGGGGCTCCCAAGACGGCCCAAGAGAGCCCCAAGAGAGGCCCAAGAAACTGAATCCGAACTCACATTTCGAGCCTTTCCCCCCAAGATGGCCCCAAAAGCCTGCCAGTGGCCTCTCTAGCCGCCTCCACGAGGCCCCAAGAGCCCTCCACGAGGCCTCCAAGAGGCACCAAAAGGCCCCGAGAAGCCTGGACAATCCAAGAGGCTGCTCAGAGGCATCCCAAGAGACCCCAACATGCATCGAAGACTGTCTCGCTCTGCCTATGCTTTCTTTGGGGTGTCGGCGGAATGGCATAAGCCTCTTGATTAAGAAGATCGCGATGACTGTACTCTGCACGGCCGCGGAGCCTCTAAGGGCTGTTCGGAGGAAGCGTGTGCTGAAGGTCTCCGCTTTGGAAGGCCGAACTGAAGAGGCCAATCAAGCCCTAGCCGAATGTCGACCATCGACAAGAGCGGGAGCTTGGGAGGCAGATGCAGGAGAGAAACTAGGGACTCACGACCTCAGCGTGTCCCACTGTACTGAGAATCTCTCTTGATGTAATGCCAATGCATGCAGTGCCCTATCGGCTCGCGGATGGCACGGCGGCGCGCGCATCAGAGAGCTCTTGGTAAGTTGGCCCTTCATCTGCTGTGACTGTGTCGCAGACGTAAGTCTGCGGAGGGGCGCAGATCGGGCCCTACGCAATGAATTCGCACTACCTAGCAGAGACGCGCCCTTCTGGACGCATTGGCCAAGCGCAGCGTAGCGTATCTCAGCCATCGAACCAGCTTCTGCTGACGAAGGGCTCCATGCAAGCCCGTCAGCAGCGGCGAGAAAGCGGAGACAAAATGCAGATTCAAAGGGTGAAAGCCGGAGGCAAGCTCACTAGAAGCGCACTTCGTTCGTTTCCAGGAGGCACGCCGCTTGCTGCCGCCGCCGCAATACTTCGTGAACCTGCCCCAGCGGTACAAACTTCAGGCCCGCACTCGACAATACCTTCACCTGGCCCGCAGATACCGAGTAGCCCTCGAAAATGCCGTCCTTATCGAAGACCTCGAGAACTTGGCCAGGCAGCCACTCCATCCTCGGAGCTGGCAAAGACAGATTATGACAACCCCGCTCAGTTGGCGGAGGCAGGGTCAGGAGGGCACCAGCAGGCGGCGAGCCCGCAGGGGAAGGGAGAAGGGGCAGACCCTCTCGGAAGGCGACGGAACTTCTCAGAAGCCCTCAGGCCTTCTGAGAAGTTGTGACGTCTTCGGGGAAAGCTGAGAAAACTTCTCAAAAGGCCCCGAGGTCTTCCGAGCCTTCTGAGCAGGCCCACCCCTCCTCACTTCCCCCCAGGCTCACCGCCGAACCAGAGGAAGAACAGTCAGCATAAGCATACCTTCTTTGAGGCCCACGCGGATTTCTTGGATCCGCGCTGCACCCCCCGCCCTGGCGCGCACAGCGCGCCAGGGGCGGCACCGGAGGCGACGCCTGCGGGCGACAGGCGCTGATCAGGGAAAGCCGCGCGGACCTCCGAAAGTTTATGCCCTGTGTCGCCTGCGCTTCGAATCTCTGGAGATCATTGTTTTGTTGTTCGCGATAACGCCCTCCTGGTCACCTCACGACTCGCGCCGGCGCTGTCTGGAAACTGGCCATGCTCCTGAACATTCCCAGACGGCGCCTGCGCGAATCGTGACGTGGCCGGCCACGCTGGTGATCGCCAGGGGATGAAAGAAGAACGAACTCCCGGCAACACTCACGCCCGACATTCTGCTCCCCGCCGGCTCGCTGCATCGGCGACGTCGGCGATGCACGGCGATGCATCGGCGACGCCTGCGCTGGGCTCCACATCGAGCCGCATCGCCGATGCTTCGGCGATGCGGCGCGATCCTCCAACCCCATCTACTCGGATCCAATCCTACGAAACAGCAATGCAAAATCGAAACAACTCGTCCAACGCCCTGGACCCCATCTCGTGCGTCATTATGCGAGCTGGATCGATCCGTGAGGGCACCAGGGCCCGACAGGATACAAACAGAACACCTCTCGGATCCCACTTGGGAGGCCTAGAACTCACACCTCGACCTCCTGCTCCCTGCTCGCCTGTCGGGGGCGTCCAAGGGAGGGGCGTCCAAGAGGGGGGGTGCAGATCATGGCCAGCGGCATGTGCACGGCCCAGGGGGGGGGGGCCAGGGACGTGTTGAACTGAGACGAGGCGCCATGAAAAATCTGGGGAGATACCATGGCCCCCGCCATGATATCCACCCCTCCTTAGTCATCACCCCCTCTTGGCCGCCCCCGAGCCTGCTGCTGCTGCTGCTGCTGCTGCTGCTGCTGCTGCTGCTGCTGCTGCTGCTGCTGCTGCTGCTGCTGCTGCTGCTCCACACTCTGAAAATCGACAACCTCCAAGATAGATCGAGAATCTCTGAGATCCGGCGGCTCTGGAAGATGCATCGGGCGACGCGGCCTTCTCAGAGCCTTCCAGAGCGCTCCGGGAGCGTTCCGGAACACTCTGGGACGGATTTTTATCCTCGTCCTAGCCCCGTCCGACTCGGGCCCCGCTTGGGGGCCTAGAGCTCACGCCCCCGACCCTCTTAGAGGAAGAGCAGAATACATAAACATAAAAGTTCGACGGTCCACGCGGATTTCTTGGATTTGCGCTGGGCCCCCCTCCCTGGCGCGTGGAGCGCGCCAGAGGCGGCGCCCGAGGCGCCGCCACAGGGGGGCCCCGCGCGCGGATCCGAGACATCCGCGCGGAGCGCCAAAAGTTTCTGTCTACGCGCGTATTGCTTTTCTTCGACTTCTGCTCCCCGCCCGCCTGCTGCTGCTCCACACGTCCACCTCGTCGCCGGGCCGAGGCTCCCAAGGCCCCTTGGCGTCGGCGGCGTCGGCGGCCTCGGCTTAGGTCGGGCATGTCCTCCTACAGGCAGATTTCGGAGGAAGCATAAAACATAGCCAAAACATATCCCAAACTTGTCCAGACATATTGGAAAAATCGCCCCCTCACTCTGTTATATTGAAATGTTCTTGAAAATTCCACATAAAAAACCTCTTTTTGAATACTCCCCCTGTAGAGGGACATGCCCGACTGAAGCCTCGGTGCAGGCCGCCTCCCCAGCGCCGGCGCCGGCCTCCTTCCGCGGGGGTCAGCTCTGCGAGGCGGGAATTGATCCAGATCCACCGCATGGGAACCCTGGTGCCCCAGCGGGCGGTGCCTATGGAAACAGTTCGGCCCCCGGGGGTTCGAACATGTCCAAATCCACCGCCTGCCGAGGCTCCGAAAACTGACCCGCCAGGCGGTGGTCATTCGGGTCGGGCGAAAGGGGGGGATAGCAAAGGGGGGGTTTGAGAATCAGCTTACGTAGCTGATCTTCTGGGCGCCGGCGGCGGCTATGTATCGGTGGAGCCGAAACCAGCTGCATGCAGCCAATTTCGCAACCCCCCCTTTCCTAATCCCCCCCTTTCGTCCGGCCCGAGTCATGCATGAATCCCCGCCTCGGAAGGTTTCTCGGGGGCGTCCACGAGAGGGGGGGGGCGTCCAAGAGAAGGGGACTCGCGCAGACCCCGGCCCGAGGCGCGCGCGCACGGCCCGGGGCCGTGCGGAAGCGAGAGGCGGGGCCATGACATCCGAGGAGACGTCACCGAGTCACGGCCGCGGCCCCGAGGTCCTCCTGAAAGAAAAATGTTGGCACCATGTCGGGTTGAGCTGCGAATCGGATGGCGCTGCTGCTCCCCCGCGCCCCCGACTTTGACATTGTGCTGGTTGTGACACGTCTCCCAGGGCCCTCCGAAGAAATACAGACACATCCCATTTCAGCGTGCTCGTCCGCTCTCAATGTGAAGGCCGGGGGCGGGGGACTCGTATCATCAATTGTCGTGCCGCCCAGGTGGTGCAAACTTGTTTCTTTCAACCGTCCCCCCCACCACTAGTAGTCAGCACCCCCCTCTCGGCCGCCCCCGAAGTTTCAGGCAGCAGCGGCTATCGCCAGCCAGGCCTCGAGCAGGGGGGCCTGGGGGGTCAGGTCTGCAGCACCCCATGAGCAGACGTCGAGGGGCGCAACCAACCTTTTCGGCCAAGCTTAAACTGATGCACCACAGGGCTGAACCCAAACGGTGTTTGTCGTTTTCGTTTGTTTTCGTTTTCCCTCGTTTTGTCTTGAATCCACCTCTACCGCAAAACGAAGTCGAAACGAAAACGGCCCACGAAATCGCCAAAACACCGTTTGGGTCCAGCGCTGATGCACCACACCCGGCGTCGGGCCAAAACTTTGGACACGAAGCAGTCGTTGGATGTGGCACCTCTTCGTCGGCCTCGCCAGCGAAGCGCTGACCACCTCGAGGCCCTTTTGCTCGGTGGCCCTGCAGAGGAGAGCGCTCTCGGACCCTCGGCTTAGGTCGGGCCTGTCCACCTACAAGGGGAGTTTGGACGAAAAACAAAAAATACGCAAACAATATTCCAAAGATGCCCAAAAATACTCAAAGAATAGTCCCCAGACTATTTTTTGACTATTTCTGGATATTCCCCCTGTAGAGGGACAGGCCCGACTTGACCCTCAAGGCCCTACTCCCGCCAGGCGGGGGGGGGGGGAGGGAGAGGGAAGCAAAGCGGGACCACCAGGGCCGCGCGGCACAGACCAGGACCGCGGGAGGGCGGCCCTCGAGCAGGGGAAGCGTGTGGGCTCCCGGCCTCCCGGCCTCCCGGGGCCGTCGACCGGCTCGGAGGTGCGGGGCCCGGCCCCGGGAAAAACACGACGGGGGGCGTGCCTCCTCGAGGGGGGTGCGTCCGAGCAGCCCCCTCGGCGTGGTGTCCCAGGGCTCCCCTGCTTCTTCTTCCTGGCCGCTGTCGCTCGCATCGTTCGTCGAGGGGCGAAGCACACGTCAGGGGGAGGGCCGCCGTTGTCTCGAGCGGCTTTCATGCGTTAAGCAGTAAGCGTACCCCTGACCCTCTGGGAGGGGACCTGAGTCAGGAGGGCCAAACACAGTAGGGATAAAGGAGTCTCTTTTCTGCAGAGGTATCGGACCAAACCGGTTAGCATCCCCAATGCGAAGACGGGGACATCTTCGTCGCGTTCTCAGGGCTAGTAGAGGCCTCCTAAATGGGGTCCGAGTGTGGATGGGGTCGGAGGATCGCACCGTATCACCAACGCATCGCCGATGCATGACCGATGCATCGGCGAAGCATCAGCGGCATCAGCGACGTCGGCGACGCATCCGCGCCGTCGGCGCGGGGAAGCAGGGGCTCCACATCGAGCCGCAGCGTCGATGCATCGGCGATGCGGCGCGATCCTCCGACCCCCTCTGTACTCGGACCCCATCTATCGGGGGCGCGCAAACATGGATTAGCGATCCATGGATTTGGCGCGCGGTCGCCTAATCCATGGATCGGGGGAGGTGCCCTCCCCAAAAAGCGGCCGGTGCCGCCTCGCTCGGCGGCGGACACCCGCGATCTCACACATGGACACGGGACCCGTCGCCAATACGCGCCCCTTTGATCCACGCTTGCGATCGCCTAGAAAGAGGAGGAGGAGGAGGAGGAGGAGGAGGAGGAGGAGGAGGACAACGAGGCCAGGAGTGAGGGGTTCCTCCGTTCTGGGTGATCCTGCGGCGCCTCCGCTGGCGCGGGAGGAGCCGAGGCGCCCCACCCGCACGGGGAGGGCCGCGCGGCGGCGGCGGCGCACCCGCGGAGGTGCTCCGCCCTCTCCCGCGCGTACGCCAGCCTGTGTCGGGGGCGCCGGTCTGGCCTCCTCCTCCTCCCCCTCCTCCTCCTCCTCCTCCTCCTCCTCCTCCTCCTCCTCCGCCTCCTCCGCCTCCTCCTCCTCCTCCTGCTCATCGTGGTTCTCTCACAGCGAGAGGACGTCAGGCCCCCCCCCGCCAGCTTCAAAGACACAAACTGCATCAGCATGCTTTCTTTGAGCTCCGCACGGAGCCCTACAAGGCCATGGTTCTGTGACTTTCTTCTTCTGTGTAGGGAAAGATCACGACGGTGGGTTTCCGTTCGTTTTCGGCCTCCGCTGGGCCCACACTGGGCCTCGGCACGGTCGAAAGACGACTCGGGAACGACCCGCGCCCAGCGCCGACCCAAGAAATCCGCACGGAGCCCCAAAAGTTGCTGTTTCTGCAACAAGTTTAGGTCGGGCATGTCCTCCTACAGAGTGATGTTGGAGGAAAATGAAACAAATAAACAAAACATACTCAGGAATAGTCAAAAGATAGTCGAACAATCGTCCCCAGAACCATCTCTTGACTATGTTTGAACATACCTCCCGTATGGGGGACACGCCCGACTTGACAGTAGCCCCTTCCTCGATCCGACCCACCTCGCCTCTCGTGGTGGCGGGGCGCCAGCGGGCTGCCCTCGGGCAGCTGCGACAGGGCCTCCAGGGACACCACAAATGCGCTCGTGCCGCTGCTTCACCGGCCGCCCCCCTGGGAGTGCGTCCTGACCAGCCTCTCGGGGCCAAGCCAGCGGTGGCGACGAGGGCCTCGCCCGGTGCCCCGAAGAGGGCGACAACGAGGCCAGGATAGCGGTAGCGGTGCAGGGCGGACGCGGTCGCAAGACCCTCGCAAGAAAACCCAGCCCCGGAAACCTGCGCGCGAGATGCACTCTGGGGGGGGACCCCGGGCACCCTGAACGCACCAGCTTGTTCGACGGCCGCGAGAAGCCACCGCGCAGCGCGCGGAGCGAAGAAACATGAATGAAAAGCATCTGGTTTCTTGATGCGCGTCCCCACTGTACAGTCGGGCTGCTGAAAGAAAGAACGATACATACGGAACGGAACCCTTTTTTCCAAGCCGAGCCGTAAAATCCGAAGGAACAGTCGAACCCATTGCTAGGGTCGTTCTGGCCCCGTTCCTTCGACCAGCCGTCCTGTTCGACAAAACGAATGCGGCTCACCGAAGCGGCTCGTCACGAAAAAACAACGGGACGCAAACAAACCTACGGCTGAACCACCAAGCCGATTGCGATCTCGAATTGAACCTTATTTCAACGAACTGACTGTAATTACCTTTCCTCCCCTGAGCCTCCAGGTGCAGGGCCGCCCTCGCCAGCGCCTCCGCTGCGCCCAGCGGGTCCGCGTCTGCGCCGCCGCGGTCGCGCGCGATGGCCGCCTCGAAAAGGCCGTCTGCGAAGGCCTGCATGGTGCCGGGCCACCGCGCGACGTCCCCATGGCGCGCCCTCTGGGCCTCGGCGCGCTCGAGCTCCTCGGGGAAGCCACACAGGTGCCGATGCCGCCACTCCTCCTCTTCCTGTTCCTGTTCCTCCTCCTCCTCCTCCTCCTCCTCCTCCTCCTCGTCCTCCTCCTCCTCCTCCTTATCCTCCTCATCCTCCTCATTCTCCCTCCTCCTTCCTCACTCCTCGTCCACCCTCCTCCCTCTCCTCCTCCTCCTCCTCCTCCTCCTCCTCCTCCTCCTCCTCCTCCTGCTCCTCCTCCTCCTCCTCCTCCTCCTCCTCCTCCTCGTCCGCCTCCTCGAGGTGTCAAGTAAATGCTTCGAGGCCTTTCCCAGGGAGCAGTATGACCAGATGTTCGAGGAGAGCTCTCAGGACGAGCGGCGTGCGATGTGGGGGGTTATTCATAACCACTGCTTGTGGATTCGGGGACCTCAGCATGCTGTGGATACGGATATATGTTTGGGCAATAGGCTAGCCAAACATGACCATACCCACCGCCTGCCGAGGCCCCTGGGAGCTCGATCCCCCCGGCAGCAGTGATGGGTAAATCCCCACCTCGCACAATGGTATCGATACTGTGGAGGCCAGTCCACAAGAAACCTTCAACAAGAAACCCAACCCTGACACCCCAGGACGTCCCTTGATTTTTGGTGTGGGAACGCCACGCTTTCCATAGAAGAACCATCGAAACCCGAGGAACCCAGGGCACCCTGGAGGCAGAGCAGGGTGCTTCTTGGCATGGGTCTCCACTGTACATTTCCCTCCTCCGATTCCTGCAGCAACAGCTCCTCGGAGGCGGCCGTGGACCTCCCGGCGGTCTTCTCCCTCGCGAGCACTGCCACGGCGTGCACCCGGCAGTAGTACGAGGCGGCGGGCTCGGTCTCCTCCAGGAGCCGAGCCTCCGCGAGCCAGGGCCGCACCGCCTGGCTCGAGGAAGAAACCACTGCTCACACGACACGCAGAATTACAGTGAGCCCGCATAGTCATGATGGCCTGTCGGAAGGCCATCTCGAGGCCTTCCGAGCGCGGCGCAGCGAACGAGACTGGCCAAGGATGGGCCGAGGAGGCAAGCATGCAAGGGCAATTGCCCTTGGAAAGCTCGCCCATCCTTCTCATGCCGGTTGACTGTACGTTGTAGGAGCTCCACGCGGGGTTCTGGGATCGGCGCCTGCGCCGCCCGCCCACTGGCGGCCCCGCGGCCTTGCGCGCTCCGCGCGCCATGTTGGGGGAGCCCGTAGCGCAGACCCAAGCAGTCCACGAGGAGCTCCGAAAGCAGACGCTTGCGTCGCCTCTGCTTCTTAGTGATCGGCTGGCCACCTGGCGGGGCCATCAGGCTGCGGGGGTCAGGCGGCTTGCTGCGGCCTGCTCCAATTCCAGTTTCAAGTCTCCCATGTTATAGTCCTACATTATGGTTCCTACCGTAAGATGTTCCTGACCGCTCGAGGGGTGGGGGCCCCAAACCATCCTTTTCACCCTCCCCGGATCGCAGGCTCTGGATTCCTGCGGGACCGTGGGACACGTAAAAATACGTGAGATTCGCGCTCCCGAGGCCACGGTCCCTCATACATCATGCAATACTCACGTCCCCGAAGCCACGATCCTTCGAAAATTACACATTCACGTCTCCGAGGCAACGATCCCTTCAAAATTACAACGTGCTCGCGACCCCGAGTTCCACGATGCTCACGTCCCCGACACCACGATCCCTCAAAAATTGCACTTGATTCACGACCCCAAGGCCACGATCCCTCGCAAATTACACCATGTTCGCATTCTCGAGGCCACGATCCTTTACAAATTACATTTTGCTCGCGTCCCCGAGCTTTCGACCCTTCGAAAATTACAATATAATCGGGCACCTGTGGCCACGACCCTTTGCAAATTACGCCACAGTCGTGATCCCGAAGCCACCCTCTTTGGTAAATTAAACAGTGTGCACGTCCACAACGCCACGATCCCTGGTAAATTCCGCCAGTGCACTCGAGAAAACGCAAATCAGTGGATGTCTGATTTGTTCGCAGTTGCCTCGAACGGTCCTCCCGCCCTAGTTTAGTTCGAATGTACGTTGAACTCCAGTATGGTTATTACATGTTCCTCTCCCTATATCATTGTTCTCCCTCTCTATATGTGTGTGTGTTGCTTCTCTCTCTCTCTCTCTGTCGCTCTCTCTCTCTCTCTCTGTTTATCTCTCTCTCTCTCTCTCTTTCGTTATTTCTCCCTCTCTCTCTCACTACATACATATGAGTACCTATATATACATATATATATGTGTATGTATGTAGGTATGTATGCATACTTTGCTCTCTGTGCATACACTCATAGATTCGTGCACGTTCTCTGTATGCTATGTTTCCCTCTCTCTGTCTCTCTCTCTCTCTCTACTCCATCTCTATCACATGTGTCTCATAAGTGTTTGATTATATTTACCTCTCTCCGTCTCTCTTCCTGTATTTATCGGAGGTTGGGAAGTGAGCTCGCAGTGAAACGGAGACCCCCCACCAAGCAATCGGTTGCGGTTTCGTGTACGTTTCGTGCGTGCCGGCGAGGCCAAGCTGCGCGGACAGGCGAGAGGAATGAACCCGCCGCTGCCAGGGCGAAGCCGAGTTCCTCGGGCTGGCGGCAATGGACCTGTAATGTCCCGATGGTGTCCCGATGATGTCCCGTGGTGTCCCTTGCTGTCCCGTGGTGTCCCCTGGCGCGGGGGTGTCCCGTGCTATGCTATTTGCTACGATATGCATTTATGCGAACGACAATCAGAACGATATTGAGATCGATAGTGAGATCCATTGAAAGAGATCGGTCGTGAGATCGATAGTGAGATCGATAATCCAGTTGGTAGTGAGGTCGATTGAGTGAGATCGATACTGAGATCGATAGTGAGATCGATAGCGACATCGATACTGGAGAGAGCGCGTTTCACGGGCGTTTGCTGTGGGAACAGTCGGCGGCGCGTTTCGAACCAGGAGACCCCCCCCCCGCCCCCGAAATTCGGCACCGTCGATCAGAACCAGGGGGACCCCCTTCCCCCCCCACCCCCCACCCCTCCCCAAACCACCCCCACCTCCCCCCCAGGAAAGCAGGAGATGTAAATCCCCCATCCTTCCCTTCCGGCTCCCTGGGGGGGGGTCGAACCCCCCCCCGGGCGCCAGCGCCGGCGCCGGCGTTGGCGGCGGCCGGCAGCGCCGACGGCGGACACGCAGGGACGATGACCAGAGAAGGCCCAGAGGCCGCACATGGGAAACACAAAAAATCATCATATCGACCCGTCGCCTCCCAAAAGCCATTGGGAGGCCCTTCGGCAGGTGCAAGAGGCCCAAGAGGCGCCCAAGAGGCTTCACAAATGCTCCTCAGACGCCCCCGAGACCCCTCTGACGAGACCCCAAGAAGCATCCATTAGAACTCCGACCCACAGCCAAGGCACGGCGGCGAGAAGACCCGCAGGCCAAACCACCACAACCACCACCACCACCACAAAGCACCACACCACCACCACCACGACCGCCACCACCACCACCACCACAACCACCACAACCCAGCACCACCACCACAACCACCACCACCACAAACCGCCACTACCACCACCACAACCCACAACAACCCACCACAACCACCACCAACAACACAAACCACCACAACCACCACCACCGCCACCACAACCCAC